TTTTCTAATTATAGAATCCAGAGGGAATCTGTTTTACAAACGGCAAAGTAAAATTACGTTTTTAAAACGCAAATCGAACATTTATTTACATTCTTCTTTTTGTTGTGCGTGCAAGTGTATCGATTCTTTATAAACATTCAAGATAAATGTCGACATTAATTTTGATATAGTTGATTCAATCCCTAGCGTACATGTACAATATTTTGTATAAAAATGTATTAACCAATTTCATGCAAATTATACACAACGTGACTTTTTTATTTGCAAAATATCAAAATTAATAAAATAATTAAATATGTTATATATTTTAAACAGTATATAACATAAATTTTAACCAAAAATAGACGTGTCAAAACAGTGACGACGTCTTGCGAACTTACCTGTGAAATGTGCAATTATTAGGAACATTTCTATTATTGACACCACAGTCACTCACAGAACATGTATATCCATTGTGGGAAAACAATTATTTGAAATATTAACCACGATTATACTCCAAAAAAAATTACAAAATATTTGGTAGCTTATTTCTGGCGTGCTGACTTGTGCCGACCTGTCATTCAAAATCGGTTCATGTAGTCACGAGATTTGTTATCCTTTTCTATCTTGCTTCTTTGCCATAAGGAAGTTTCTTCTCCCTTGCACACAATGTAGGTCTATGTATTCAGCAGTGGACATGTGAAGGGTGTACCTGTAATGATGAAAGGATCATGGTGAATGTACTCCCAGATTTAAATAACTTTACTATGTTTCATTAAATTAGGAATCATACCAGATTCGATACTAGTTTAAAATAGTAGCAAGTTGGGGTGCGGTGCATTTATTATAGACGCAATAACTTAAATGAAATCGCCCATACATCTGCCAGTTTTCTTAATATTGATTGTTTTGAAATATTTTACAATATCATTAGGCCCAATCCCCCCCTCCCCCACATCAACATGGTAACGGAATTACACCAAAGACTACCCCAGGAGGGTACCAGCACCCCTGGAGAATCCCTCGCTGAGCATCCACGACCATGTTATTCCACTCCTGATCGTGGGTGCTCAGGCTGCCCCGCGTATTCGGGGGGGGGGGGGGGGGGGGAATTCCGTTCAAAAACATAACTGCTCGGGGCAAACTGAGCAACAATACCAAGGCGACCCCTGCCACGCTATCCGTGAATTTCTGCAACATCAGGGGACTTCACTCGAACCTAAACGCCGTCCACTACCACCTCGAGACGATGAAGCCGGCCTTGCTCTTTCTGACCGAGACGCAGGTGTCTTCTCCGGCTGATACTTATCTCTCCTGCCCGGGGTACAAATCGGAGCACTCCTTTGTGCCTCGGGCTGGAGTTTGCGTGTATGTCAGAGAGGACATCTGTTATCGACGCCTCGGCAGTCTTGAAGGTTCGGACCTGTCCATCCTTTGCCTACGCGTAGACAGCAACGACCATCCGCGCGTCTACGGGAGCCTCTATAGGTCCCATAGCGGTAATGCCGACACAGACCGACTCATCGACCACGTCCAAATGGCTACAGATTCCTTACTACAACAGGTCCCATCCGCGGAGATCGTGATCCTTGGCGATTTTAACGCCCACCACGCCGAATGGCTCGGTTCACGTTTAACGGATCATGTGGGGAGATCTGTTTATGACTTTGCCTTGGCATATGGTCTGACATAACTGGTTACTTCGACTACGCGGATTCCAGATGTGGAGGATCATACACCTTCCCTGTTGGACCTTCTGCTGACCTCTCATCCGGACGGATATCAGGTTTCCGTCGATGCCCCTCTCGGCTCTTCGGACCATTGTCTGCTCCGGAGTGTGGTACCACTGTCGCTCCCCTCGCGGTTGCGTTCTGCAGGTTGCCGCCGTGTTTGACATTACAGATCGGCGGATTGGGACGGAATGCGGTTTTTCTTTGCATCCTATCCATGGGGGCGGGTTTGCTTCTCGCCGGATGATCCCAGCGCTGTTGCTGACTCTGTCACAGATGTGGTGCTACAGGGAATGGAACTATTTATTCCATCATCTGTGGTACCCATCGGAGGCAGATCTCAGCCTTGGTTTGGTCGCTCCTGTAAGACTGAATTACGCAGTAAGCAGGAGTGTTATCAAGCCTGCGCTGCGGCTTCGGCGACTCGGGATGTAAACACCAGCACACTTAAAAAGAAGTATAACTTTGCCTCCAGGTCCTTCAAAAGAGTTATTGCCAAGGCAAAGTCAGAGCACATAGGCAGGATTGGCGAGAAACTAGTTCGCCTTCCTTCGGTAACCCGTGCATTCTGGCCTTCACTACCATCTCTGCACAGGGAGGACGACTCACTGGCCCACGCCGCAAAAGAGAAAGCCGACCTTTTAGGTTCCCTTTTTGCGTCCAACTCGACTCTTGACGATGGGGGGAAAACACCGCTGACCATCCCGCGGTGTGAGTGCTCCATGCCGGATGTGCTGTTCTCACAGCGCTCGGTTCGCAAAGCACTTCTCTCCCTGGACATCCAGAAGTCGAGTGGGCTTGACGGAATCCCCCCAATTGTGCTGAGTACGTGTGCTCCGGAGTTGGCACCGGTCCTAGCGCGTCTTTTCCGGTACTCCTACTCCCAAGGCGTCCCGAATTCATGGAAGACAGCTTTTGTTCACCCGATCCCTATAAAAGGCGACCGCTCAGACCCGTCTAACTACAGGCCTATCGCCATCACCTCCTTGTTTTCCAAAATAATGGAATCCATTATTAACTGCCAGCTCATGCGATACCTTGAGGATCACCAGCTGATTAGTGACCGCCAATACGGTTTTCGTCGGGGTCGATCAGCTGGTGATCTTCTGGTCTACCTTACCCATAGATGGGCGGAGGCAGTAGAGTCCAAGGGGAAGGCTTTGGCCGTTAGTTTGGACATTACGAAGGCCTTTGATCAGGTTTGGCACAAAGCGCTTCTTTCGAAGCTCCCTTCCTATGGGCTTCCCGAAAAATTGTGCAATTGGATCACCAGCTTCCTTGCAGATCGGAGCATCAAGATCGCTGTAGACGGTGTATGCTCCGACTACAAGCCTATTAACGCTGGTGTTCCACAAGGCTGTGTGCTATCACCAACGCTGTTTCTTCTGCATATCAATGATATGTTGCTAACTGATAACATTCATTGCTATGCGGATGACAGCACTGGTGATGCTCTAACACCGGCCGTGCCAATATTTCTCGCGAAAACGTCGCCGAGTACTGGAACAAACTTGTGTCTGAAGTTGAGTCTTTGCTGAACAAAGTCTCGGATTGGGGGCGACTAAATCTAGTCCAGTTTAATCCTCCGAAGACATAAGTTTGCGCGTTTACCGCTAAAAAGAACCCCTTTGTCGTATCTCCTCAATGTCAAGGCACTCCCCTTCTCGCCTCAGCCAGTATTGGAATCCTCGGAGTCGACATATCGAGTACGTGCAATTTCGTGGTCACTTGGAAGAGAAGGCCAAATTGGCCTCTAAAAAGCTTGGCGTGCTCAACAGAGCGGGACAGTATTTCATGCCGGCACACCGCCTGCAACTTTACAAGGTGCAGGTTCGGCCTCACATGGAATACTGTTCCCATCTCTGGGCAGGGGCTCCCCAGTGCCAGCACCTTACACTTGACCGTAGTGGTCCAGTGCAGAGCGGCACGAATCGTCGACGACCGAGTCCTTTCCGATCGGCTCGATTCATTGGCACTGCGAAGAGATGTTGCATCCCTTTACATTTTCTTTCCAATTTACCACGGGGAGTGCTGTGAGGAATTGTTCGGATTAATCCCAGCCGCCAAATTTCACGAGCGCACATCGCGGGAGAACTCCCTATACCATCCACACCATCTGGATGATTGGCGGTCCACCACTGTGCGATTTAGAAGATGTTTTCTTCCGCGCACGACTTCCTTGTGGAATCGATTACCATCAGCGATTTATCTGGACCGATACGACTTAGGGACCTTCAAGAAAAGGGCCTCCTTTTTAAAAGGCTGGCAACGAATCTGCGATTCCCCTAGTGTTGCAGTTGTTCATGGGCAGCGGTAGTCACTTACCATCAGGTGAGCCTCATGCTCGTTTGCTTCCCTCTCCTATAAAAAAAAATCTCTTGGTAGTATTTTATTCTTCACTATTTGAAATTCTTTTGTACAAACATTTATGTACATTTTGTTTGAGTAATGACTACTTTTGATCTGACTTTTCTTGTTGAACTCCGGCTGGCTTCTCAATCCGGTTGCGAAGGTCCAATTGAAAGGGAAAGCAAAGTCTTCATCGCGCGCCCTGCAGCAGATATCAACCCATTATTGACCTTCTATTCACAGACCAATACCACACCACGTTGGGTTCGGGAACAACGAGGTGGGTGTGACTCCTGAGTGGACGTTCGACTCAGAACTTGTCTCTTCTTTCACAAAAGAAAGGTTGGACGACTATGATTACTGGTCCTTAAAGAATGGTCCTGGTCTTGACGTCAGTTATTAGTGGACTGTCTTCCTTTGATGTTTACCTGGCTATAATTTGGATTCCGATTGTTTAATGATTTGTACTGTTTTACGATGTTGAAACGAGGACAAACGCTAAACACTCTCAATCTCGCGAACTGTTTTATTTTTTTCTGTAATGTAACAATGGGACGGGGATTCTAATGAGACTCAAATAAAAATACAGTAAAATTACATAAGACAGAAGTACTTTTTAAAGTATTGATGTTATTTTTTACAATAACTGCGTTCCATTCACAGATGTGAAAACCATATCAATTCCTTCAACTTAATCGATAATTTTAAGCAGGTCACCTCACTATGAATCTAAATTTGACAGAAACGATATGTCACTTATTAACGTAGTCCTACTTAAGGTACTGCGTCGCCACAATATCACAAACATTATATGCAATAACTGCTTTATAAAATGGATTTAATGAGCCACGAAGCTGCATAACAAGACCGTCCGTCAGTTCCAAGTACATTAATTGTGATTCTTGTTTTGTGTTTCTATTATTAATTAAACATCTAATACAGGGAAGTCCATGGCCACGAAAGTGAGGTCCGCACTGGTCGGGCGCACCCTTGCGGAGTGTGCGGGCGCGTGTTCCGGTCCGCGTCCGTACGCAACGAGCACCTGCGCGTGCACACCGGCGAGCGGCCCTACCCGTGCGACGTGTGCGGCGTCGCGTTCCGACGGTGAGTGCGGTGCGCTGCAGTACTGTGTGACACAGTGCAGCAACACTGTGTGACATAGCACAGCAGTACTGTGTGACTCAGCACAGCACGTGCACACCGGCGAGCGGCCCTACCCGTGCGACGTGTGCGGCGTCGCGTTCCGACGGTGAGTGCGGTGCGCTGCAGTACTGTGTGACACAGTGCAGCAACACTGTGTGACATAGCACAGCAGTACTGTGTGACTCAGCACAGCACGTGCACACCGGCGAGCGGCCCTACCCGTGCGACGTGTGCGGCGTCGCGTTCCGACGGTGAGTGCGGTGCGCTGCAGTACTGTGTGACACAGTGCAGCAACACTGTGTGACATAGCACAGCAGTACTGTGTGACTCAGCACAGCACGTGCACACCGGCGAGCGGCCCTACCCGTGCGACGTGTGCGGCGTCGCGTTCCGACGGTGAGTGCGGTGCGCTGCAGTACTGTGTGACACAGTGCAGCAACACTGTGTGACATAGCACAGCAGTACTGTGTGACTCAGCACAGCACGTGCACACCGGCGAGCGGCCCTACCCGTGCGACGTGTGCGGCGTCGCGTTCCGACGGTGAGTGCGGTGCGCTGCAGTACTGTGTGACACAGTGCAGCAACACTGTGTGACATAGCACAGCAGTACTGTGTGACTCAGCACAGCACGTGCACACCGGCGAGCGGCCCTACCCGTGCGACGTGTGCGGCGTCGCGTTCCGGCGGTGAGTGTAGTGCAGTCAGTACTGTGTGACACAGTGCAGCAACACTGTGTGACATAGCACAGCAGTACTGTGTGACTCAGCACAGCACGTGCACACCGGCGAGCGGCCCTACCCGTGCGACGTGTGCGGCGTCGCGTTCCGACGGTGAGTGCGGTGCGCTGCAGTACTGTGTGACACAGTGCAGCAACACTGTGTGACATAGCACAGCAGTACTGTGTGACTCAGCACAGCACGTGCACACCGGCGAGCGGCCCTACCCGTGCGACGTGTGCGGCGTCGCGTTCCGACGGTGAGTGCGGTGCGCTGCAGTACTGTGTGACACAGTGCAGCAACACTGTGTGACATAGCACAGCAGTACTGTGTGACTCAGCACAGCACGTGCACACCGGCGAGCGGCCCTACCCGTGCGACGTGTGCGGCGTCGCGTTCCGACGGTGAGTGCGGTGCGCTGCAGTACTGTGTGACACAGTGCAGCAACACTGTGTGACATAGCACAGCAGTACTGTGTGACTCAGCACAGCACGTGCACACCGGCGAGCGGCCCTACCCGTGCGACGTGTGCGGCGTCGCGTTCCGGCGGTGAGTGTAGTGCAGTCAGTACTGTGTGACACAGTGCAGCAACACTGTGTGACATAGCACAGCAGTACTGTGTGACTCAGCACAGCACGTGCACACCGGCGAGCGGCCCTACCCGTGCGACGTGTGTGGCGTCGCGTTCCGACGGTGAGTGTAGTGCAGTCAGTACTGTGTGACACAGTGCAGCAACATTGTGTAACATAGCACAGCAGTACTGTGTGACTCAGCACAGCACGTGCACACCGGCGAGCGGCCCTACCCGTGCGACGTGTGCGGCGTCGCGTTCCGACGGTGAGTGCGGTGCGCTGCAGTACTGTGTGACACAGTGCAGCAACACTGTGTGACATAGCACAGCAGTACTGTGTGACTCAGCACAGCACGTGCACACCGGCGAGCGGCCCTACCCGTGCGACGTGTGCGGCGTCGCGTTCCGACGGTGAGTGCGGTGCGCTGCAGTACTGTGTGACACAGTGCAGCAACACTGTGTGACATAGCACAGCAGTACTGTGTGACTCAGCACAGCACGTGCACACCGGCGAGCGGCCCTACCCGTGCGACGTGTGCGGCGTCGCGTTCCGGCGGTGAGTGTAGTGCAGTCAGTACTGTGTGACACAGTGCAGCAACACTGTGTGACATAGCACAGCAGTACTGTGTGACTCAGCACAGCACGTGCACACCGGCGAGCGGCCCTACCCGTGCGACGTGTGTGGCGTCGCGTTCCGACGGTGAGTGTAGTGCAGTCAGTACTGTGTGACACAGTGCAGCAACATTGTGTGACATAGCACAGCAGTACTGTGTGACTCAGCACAGCACGTGCACACCGGCGAGCGGCCCTACCCGTGCGACGTGTGCGGCGTCGCGTTCCGACGGTGAGTGTAGTGCAGTCAGTACTGTGTGACACAGTGCAGCAACACTGTGTGACATAGCACAGCAGTACTGTGTGACTCAGCACAGCACGTGCACACCGGCGAGCGGCCCTACCCGTGCGACGTGTGCGGCGTCGCGTTCCGACGGTGAGTGTAGTGCAGTCAGTACTGTGTGACACAGTGCAGCAACACTGTGTGACATAGCACAGCAGTACTGTGTGACTCAGCACAGCACGTGCACACCGGCGAGCGGCCCTACCCGTGCGACGTGTGCGGCGTCGCGTTCCGACGGTGAGTGTAGTGCAGTCAGTACTGTGTGACACAGTGCAGCAACATTGTGTGACATAGCACAGCAGTACTGTGTGACTCAGCACAGCACGTGCACACCGGCGAGCGGCCCTACTCGTGCGACGTGTGCGGCGTCGCGTTCCGACGGTAAGTGCGGTGCGCTGCAGTACTGTGTCACACAGAACAATAGTAAAGTGTGACATAGTGTAACAATACTGTATGACACAGCGTTAAATGTTTCTATTTTCTTTTCTTTTAAAGATCTTTAAACCCCCTTCCTAATAACATACAATCTCGCAATGTTGTTATTTGCTACGTTCTCTGTTGTCAATGATTGGTTGGGTGGTTGGGAGTATAGATTGACGTTTTGCAGCTGTTTGTTGTCAATTTTTCAGCAAGCCGACGAGTGTATTAGGTGATCGGTCGCATGATATAGTCGCTCGCTACTCGTACTTAAGTATAAAGCGGTTGTGTTAACAAATTTTATAAATGTCACCTGTTTTGGTTCACCACCCTGTTAGCGGTCAGCCACCACAGAGTTTATTTCACATGATGATGTTCGTTTAGAAGTGAAACACGTGTCGTATTATCGACGGTGGTGTGTCTTTTTTAGTATAGTGGTGTTGGGGTTAGTGGTAACGGGGATAGTGCACACAATTAAGTGGTATTATGAAAATAGCGCAGTGGGCAAACGTTTGGTTGCAGCGTTGCGAGCTGCGAATTCGAACCCCGGAACGAAATAAGTGTTTGTACGGCCTACAAATAATAATTGTTTCTGGTCTGGATGTATGTTTCCCCTGTGTGTTTTATGTAATCGCATTGTATAATATGCACATTTGTAAACGGCTTTTAGAAATCAGAGATAAGAAAATTCAAATGTAGGAATACCTTTTTTTTCTAGTATTTTTTTTATTTTAGCAGATAATACAAAGGTTTTATACGTGGTAGAGCTATGCTGCAGCTATATTAGTAGTATAGTTGTAGCACGAATGGGTCGGCTCGACCGGGGAAGGACCGCGCTCTCACAGAATACCAGCGTAAAATAGCAGCTTAACACTGATGTTTCGTATGGTGAGTGTAGATAACCGGAGACCCATTTTACTGGAAAAGAGAAATTTAATCTTAGTCCTCACGGGTGACAACGCATTTGCATTTTGATCCTTTATTAAGGATAGATGTAGATGTGTATGGGTCACAGCAACCACTTACCATCAGGTAGAGTGTGTGCTCGCTTGTCACCGTATCGTATAAAAAGAAAGGTGTTGATAAGATAGTGCGGTGTTGCGGCAGGTCGACTGCGATGCGCAACCACCGGCTCATCCACTCGGGCGTGCGCGCGTGGGCGTGCGGCCGCTGCCCCAAGCGCTTCCGCATCCGCTCCGACCTGCGCACGCACTTGCGCTTGAAGCATCCCACGCACCTCATCGTCATCGAGGTACACTACCATTTCCGACCTTATCACGAAACATATAGAATACTTTTTACTACAGCAAAATGAAAGTTGTTACTAAGGGAAAATGAACATACAGGCGGTTCTGTTACTACTGGCAGTAATTAGTAATTTATGAAAAATAAACTTGTTTTTTTTTAGTGATTTTGTACTAAAATGTGCTTGTATTAACGTCAGCGTATCCATTCATTCATTACAACCCTCAGATCAATAGAAAATTACCGGCCAAGTGCGAGTTGGTCGCGCATGAAGGGTTCCGTACCATTGTTATACACGTTTCTAGTAGGAGAGCCCCTTTTAATATTTAATTTATTTTAATTTTTTTTAGTTTTTATTTATTTACAACTGTCTACCTATTACGGATCATGAGATACAGCTCGCTGACAGACAGGCGGACAGACGGACGGACGGAAGGACAGCGGAGGCTTAGTAATAGGGTTCCGTTGGTTACCCTTTGGGTACGGAACCCTAAAAAGACGGTGCGCTGCATACATTTCACGTGACAAAAATGATGCCAAACTCATGCTCAACATATTGCAGAAACACGCTCTCACGTACACAAAGCTATACCTGTGAAATCATTTGCAACCATTAACACGGCTTCAGGTGCATATATGTGTGCGTCCATCAGTGAATTTCTACGGGCTAATAGAGACAAAGAAGAAAGATGTGTGTGAATGTGCGCAATGTATACGCAGTGCAACACTACACGCATAAGACACAGCCTATCAAAAGTGAACAGCTGAAGATACTTGTTCCACATTGATTGACCTCATAAGGGGGATATTTGCCGTAGTTTCCCACGTTCAGCAAATGGGTTGGCGACTTTTTTATTATTTTGAGTATATATCAAGAGAATATTTTTTACGTGGTAGAGCCATGCTGCAGCTATATTAGTAGTATAGTTGTAGCACGAATGGGTCAGCTCGACCGGGGAAGGACCACGCTCTCACAGAATACCAGCGTAAAATAGCAGTTTAACGCTGCTGTGTTTCATTTGGTAAGTGTAGAGAACCGGAGACCCTTTTTACTGGAAATGAGGCATTCCATCTTAGTCCTCACGGGTGACAACGCATCTGCATTTTGATTTTTAATAGAGGATAGATGTAGATGTCTATGGGCCGCAGCAACCACTTACCATCAAGTGGACTGTGTGCTCGTTTGTCACTCTTATCCTATAAAAAAAGAATGCAGCAGCATTCCCATCTGCTGTTTTAGTTTCTCTTTGTCGCCATTTACGAAATTCGCGAGATGTGAGTGGATTCCCTTTCGCAGCCACTACACGGCCAGTTAATATATTAATATTGATAAAAAAGAAATCGGTCGTTTTTTTATAACATATTTGCCTTTTTTCATATGTCAGGTCGGAGGTTTGAATCCCACTCAAGAAGAGGTAAAGCAACACCTTCGAAACAACAACATAACGCAGGACCGCATCATCGAGATTACCAAAATGTCATTTGAGAAGGTAGATTAAAGTTAAGAGTTAAAGTTAAAGTTACAGCCTATATACGTCCCACTGCTGGGCACAAGCCTCCTCTCAATTCTAAGAGGGTTTTAGGGCAAGGAAGTGTCCGCCGCGCTGACCCAATGCGTGTAGGCGAACTTCTTCGAAATATATTTTTTTCCTCATACATGCAGGTTTCCTCACCATGTTTTCCTTCACCGCCGAACACGTGATAGATCAGCACTTAAAATTGCAAATAACAATTTCTAACTTCGAAATCCGCGTTCGATCGAACCCGGCTTGCGGGCGTACTGGGAAATTTTTAGAGAGCGTTTAGCCCTTGAGCTACCACGATTCTGAATGTCAATAAATTACAAATTTTTCTAACTAATGTTATACAGATATACTCATCCGCAGTTTAACAGTGGTAAGTGTCCATTGTAACCCGCTGGTAATCATAAAAATTTTATCAGATCCGATGGTAATTGAAGTCGTTTAAAAACATTTTAAACGACTACAATTACCATAATAGAAGATTACTTACCGACTTACATTTTTACGACTTACTTTTACAAAAAAAAATATAATTAATTTCAGACGTAAACTAGTCTGTCTAAAATATGCGAACTTAAAATGTACAGTATATGAAAGTTGACAGCTAATTAATGTATTTCACGAAAACTGTGGTGCCGCAACTTAGGGACTTCTTTCGTGAGAAAGACTTTTTTCTTTCTTAAACTATGACATAACTTATTTGTATTTCAACTCAAAAAATATTTTAATTGACATGAGTATGAAATGAAGTAAGCTGATGTGGCTGTGGGAGTGCGGAGTTGTAATGAGCTGTAATGATGATTTTGGACGACACAGCATTATGTTCAGTTCTATTGAAGTCATACTTCTTTTGAGGCGTTTGGGAAAAATGATGAGAATGAAGTTTTACGACGCACGCGCACACCGACACATAAAAACGACACCATGAAGTTGTAACGACACGCGCGCACACTGACACCTAAAAGCGACAACTTCAGTGGGTAATTGTCTCTCAAGTTTTTTTTTGTTTTGTTACGCTAAAGAAGTATTGAACTTCCTACATGCGTACATAAGTACACACACACTTTTTTATGTTTGTATTTTAATTTTTTTTTAACTGTTTTAATATGTATGTCGACACACTTTATTCGTTTTTTATATGGCAACGGATGCGTAACGGTTGCGCGACCGGGATAAAAATTCAAAAATTTGGGAGATAGCGTGAAATCGATTTGTATGCGTGACCGTGCGCGCGTTCTGTTTGCGAATGTGTAAAGACTTCTTGCTTGCTTCTTGTTTTTATGCTTTTTGTATACAAATAAACGGAGCTTGTGAACAAACTCGCGTTATTTCTCTGCGAGTTCACCCAGAAAGTCACGATGATGTTGAATGATAAATGTGAACTGTTGTTAGCTTATTGATTCATGTTTTAAATGCAGGGCAGCAGCAGTATACTGCCAACGAGCGCTCGAGCGTTGTCCCTGCTGAGTGGCGTGCCTCGCACCAACGTCACCTGCGATGCTCCCGCACAATCGAATACAGGTGCCTATGTCGTCTAAAAGTTAAAAGTAAAATTACACCATATACAACACGTAACAAAAACTCTGTGGTTCCCGTTAAGTGTAAGTAATTATCATAAACGTATATCTATTAATTATTATAATAACTTTACTGCAGAAAACTCGACCATAAAAAAATCAATTGCAACGTCATGGACTAAAATTGTATGGAAACATAGCGCCCCTGGCGGACGTAACTGGAACTATGTTTTATCATCCAAAGTCACTCGGAAGCAATTATTTTTGAATTCGATACGATTGAAAATTCATGCTTAGGGGGCTATTATACCAATGCATACCGTGTAATGGCGGTTTAAGTGTGTACTCACCTCGTTAGTCCCAAGTGTCTTAGAGGCTTACAATGAGACATGTTAAAAGACCACATGGCTTCCGGTTTCGTTTACGTTGGGCGTGAAATACCAGACCGGGGTCGGCAAATAGCGTCCAGAGTGCGATTCGTCAGGTATTGCGATTCGTCAGGCTCTCCCTACAGAGGAAGACTTATCAAGTCCACCGCACATTATACCGCCATCTACCAAAGGCGACTAGATCTTTCTAGCATTTTCCATAATCGCGTGGTTGATTGAAATATGGTGCAAGAAATCAATGTATGCTGGTTACTCTGGTGATTATTCTGGTTCACCGTGTAGTGTAGTATAGTGTAGTGTAGTGTTCGCGGTGTAAGAATATCCACTACCCCTTATCATCCCGTGGGTGTCGTAAGTGGCGACAGAGGGAAACAAATCAGATGGGCAGTAGCGTCTTCCTCACAAGGACTAAAAATAAAAAAATAAATAAAAAAGTTTAAAAACCGTGGCAACTATGGCAAATATCCTCCCTTCGAGGCAATCTATGGGAGAAGCTTATGTTCAGCTGTGGACTTTGATAGGCTGTAACGGTAACTCTACTGACGCTCCTGACAAACAAGCTATCAGCCCACATGACGGTAAGCGGCTACTGCTGTTATATGACGGCTGACGGCTCCGTGGCGCAGTGGCTTAGCAATGAGTTGCTGCGCTGGGGGGCGCGGGTTCGAATCCCGTACGAAACAAGTATTTGTATGGCCTACAAATGATTGTTCCGGGTCTGGATGTTTGTCCTCGTGAAATTTGTGTTTGTAAACTGCCTCCACGATACAGGAGAAAATCCTAGTGAGGGGTAACGTTTTTATATAAATAAATAAAAAAATATAACAACGCGGCATTTCATCTTACTCAGGGGTGGTGACGTATCTATATTTCGATTCTTAATCGAGGATCATCTACTTACCATTAGGTGGATTGTGGCTCGTTCACCATCACTAGTAAAGAAATAAGGTTCGGAATGCGCTGTTACACTTTGTTTCTTTATGGGCAATGCCTACGCGTACCCGCATCGTGAGGGTTTTCTGCCTATCCTCCGTCTTTTTCTTACAGAAGACGGGGAAAACGAGCATGCGGCTCACCTGATGGTAAGTGACTACCGCCGCCCATAAACAACCGCAACACCAGGGGAATTGCAGATGCGTTGCCGGCCTTTTAGAAAGGTGTAAACTCTTTTCTTGAAGGTCCTTAAGTAGTACCGGTCCGGAAATATTGCCGGTGGTAAACAATTCCACAGAGAAGTTGTACGAGGAAGAAAACTCCTACTAAAACTATTCTATTGGCAGGATTTCTATTGGCAGGCCCACAGAAAAAGCTTTCACACACATACGTACAACTTGACATCCCCGCTTCAGGAGAAGAAAAGTCCTCCCCATATTCCTCCTCAGGCACAATCTTCCATAGTTAATGTTAAAAGGTTTAATGAACGCAAATGTTTTAATACCGTAGTCTCAATTGGACCGTGTCATGCAGAAATGAAAAACAGAAAGCAGAAAACTCACAAACTGACCAAAAATGATCCGGAGGATCTTTTTTCAGTAATCCCAAAATCTACATACAATTTTCTGTAAAATATGTACATAACAGGATATATTAGGGTTTCTGTTACAAGAAAAATGCATTTATGTTTCAAATCTGAATAGTTTTATGTTGTTGTGTGTTGAAACATTTCCGCATAACACGGTCCAATTATCCTTGTGGCATTCAATAAATAAAAGCAATAATTTCAGATATGTTCCAACCAGCCCGTCGTGGCAGAGGTATTGCTAAGAATCCGAGGAGACCTAAAATCCTACAAGGTTCTCATGATGAGGGGAACTTGGCCACGAATTATCCTATATCCATTGACGCCAGTGGAGAGGTTAGTGTGTTCAATATTTATCGTTATCAGCTTTTTACTATTAAACAAATAAATATTTTTTTCTTGTCGGCGTCATTTGTCAACTTTCTGCCAGTTTCAAAGATATATATATATATATTTTTTTAAATTCGTGAGTGTCGTGGAACACTCGGTTGGAACGAAGTCCCTTGCGTAGTATATTATTATTGATAAACGTAGGTATTATTATTTTTTTTTTTATAGGAAAGGGGCAAACGAGCATGCGGCTCACCTGATGGTAAGTGACTACCGCCGCCTATGAACAACTGCAACACCAGGGAGGGAATTGCAGATGCAAGATTGCAAGAAAGGGAATTGCAGAAACAAATGAATTACTAGCGTCTATTAAAATGCAGCGTCATTTAAAATAATATTTCTTTCATGGCAAGATAAGAAAAAGTGCGAGGGAGATGGATATTATTTCACCTCACTTCCTTATTTCGCCGCCAAGGCCGTCTACACTATGACACAAAGTTAGTGACGAAAAAATCTTACACTTTTTGTCGCCTAGCTCCCATCCGCCAAACCCGTACCGTCCGATAAGGAACTGCGTTCCTAAAACAGTGATCATAGTTTTTTTAACTTCTGCCACTTTCAGACCAGTTTCTGCTAACCAAAATGTGATTTTTCTAGTTTTTACTAAATTTACTTAACTACATAGTCGTTCCTTCCTACTCATGTTATCATAGAATTATTATTTTTGAAGTGAAAATTTCTTTAGGCACGTTGTGCACTTTTGGGATGGGGAAAAAAGCACTGAATTCGCGTGACCGTCTCGCTCAGACACATAAAATTGATGAAAGTAATTTTGAAAATCCGATTGATTACATTTTATAAAATTGATATGTATTTATATTTTTTTTGTATTATGTAGATAATAATCTTATTTTTCTTCATAAAATGGCGTAATATATGAAAAACTTATTACTGATAAAAATAATTTCCAATAAAAAATACTTCCTAAAAATATTTCTTCACAACCCAAAAATAATGTTTAAAGTTTGTGATGCTAAGAAGTTTTCACTTCTGATGTCTTCTGAATTTTATTTTTAGAAACATACAATGCAACAAACAAACTTCACGTGACCGACTGGACAAAATACAAACCGGTATGATAATCCGTGGTGCCAGTTAGAACAGCGTCTTTTATTAGCCGCTAAAGGCCAGTGAATAACTATACTAGACACCCACCTGATGGTAAGTGATGATTTAGCCGAAGATAGTAAAGCGCAATGCCTTAGCTTTACAAGTCTCCGTTGAGCCTAACCGCTGCGAATTCAGTCCGGAGAACATTAATAAAATTAGCCAGTTTCATACATCTATCTATTATAGCATTTTTTTTTACTTATTATAAGCCAGTGCTTGACCACAATCCCACCTGGTGGTAAGTGGTGATGCAGCCTTAGATGGTAAATCGCACTGTCTTATCGTAACAAAAAACTATTCACTCTTGCCTTGAAGACGCCCAGATCTGGACGATCAATATGGATAAAAGTCCATTACTGAACATAGGCCTCCCCCATAGATTGCCTCATAGGGGGGATTTTGCTATACCGCAATTTTTTATTAATTTGTGTTATTATTAGGTCGATTGCTGCTGCCCATCTCCTGTTTCAGTTTCCCTCTGTCGCCTCTTACGACACCCACGGGATGATATGGGGTAGTGGATATTCTTACACCGCCACTACACCGTTCAGCCAATTTAAAAATACGTATTTTCTCATCACGAGGCCCAACATGAACTAAAACCGTCCTTGCAGCAGTAATTTCTCGTTTCCAGGAGTTATCGGAGCTAAATGTCCAGCTGCTGCTTCGTGAGAGGGCGCTGGTGAATGGAAACCAGATGGTGCAGCTGCAACTGGAGGATGACATGCTCCTGGAATAATTTACATTAAAAATTCATTAAAATTTATGGTCTATTCACACATCAATTCAACACCGGTCAAGAAGTCCACAGTTGGACGTGTTCTTCTACAATGGTTGTCTGCTGTTTTGTATCTAATATATGTAATAGTTACATACCACAGTTTAAAGATGTCAGACGTTGCCGCCGTCCGCGTAGGTATTTACGCGGCCAGTGTGTATGCTAGGGATTCTCAAATAGTTTTGGATATTACAATACTTATTATCATTTATTAACATTATGTATATACTTATAAGTTAAAAACATTTATTGAACAAGATAATTTTTATTACTACAAGAAAAAATACATTTACAAGTGTTGCCAAATATTTTCGTGAAATTTTCTTATCATAGATATTTTTAGTTTTCGATTGTTATATTTAATTATCTAGTGTATTCGCATTCGGATAAACAATTTTATCAAAAAAGAAATTAAACCCCCCCCCCCCCTCCCCGCATGGCCCCCGCCATTGTTCTGCAAAGTACATTAGTTTCCCAACTGTTATACCGCGTTTAGACTCTCGCCTCGCAGCTCGCGTGTTGTTGCGAGGTAACGAATGCCTGTTTACACTCTCGCGATGCGTTCAGTTTGCGTTGAACCAGCAACGATGGAAGACGTCGAAATAGTAGCGGCATCAACTCTTGCCTTAATAAGTATTTATGGATGCTTGACTATTTTACATGCGAAGGAAATTAATAAAAATACGTCGTTGAGGAAGAATATGGTGGATGATATCTATTCATCGAAACAGAAACTTTTCAGTTTCATAATTTTATACAAATTGCTAGTACCTATTGTGCAAGATTAAATAATAATATTATATTAAAATTGTAATTTTAAAACAAAATTAATTCGAATGTTATTATGGAAAGGCGCCGTAAACAAACTGAAACGAGAGCGCGAGTGTAAACAGCACGCTCGCGTCGCTCGCGAGCCCTTTGCCTCGTGCCCGAAAACCCGGCTGGGACGCTCGCGCCGCGAGTGGCGAGGCGAGCTGCGAGGCGAGCCGCGAGCCGCGAGCTAGCGTGTACACTCGCGCCTCGCGACTCGCCTCGTCGCTCGCGCGAGACTGTAAACCGGGGGTTAGAACTCTCGTTTAAACTGTGGTTATACCGTAAATTGTCGAGAGTGCGGAATGAAGTTTGACAATTTTAAAGTGATACGGTGACGAATCCAAGGTAGTTATTCTGTTTCATCTATAAAATTCTATTGTTAGACTGAACCATTACTAATGTAGGGGGATTCGCCTTAATCGCCACGCTTCGCAGGTTCCTGTCAATTGTCTGGATAATTTCCATTTGACGTTAACGGATCACCATACATAGGAAAGGCGATATCCAGAAAGATTTCATGGGTCCCTATATGCATCCATTATTGCCTCATAGAGGAGATTTTGCCGTTATTGCCATGCTTGGCAGGCAGGCCGATTGGCAACCGCAGTTTTTTTTTTAATTTTGAGGTGTTATCAGGAAGATGCTGATGATGCATGAGATGGGCAGTCTCATGTTTCAGTTTCCCTCAATCGCCTCTTACAGCAACCAAGAGACAAGTGGAGAGTGACGGATTCTCTTGCTCCACCACCTTGCTTGTGCATTTTATAATAAAGTTCATGGATTAGATTTCTTAACCAAAGTACAAAATACAAATAATATTACAAAGTTGACAGTCATGTTCATGGGAATACTTTTTTGTAATCTGCAGAAACGAAATTTTTCTGTTGAAATTGTATGGGAATACCAATTAATGACTTCGATTAAATATTTAATTAATAAGGAAAACCGACTAAATAACTACTAGAAATTGGTAATTCAAAATGTGTGCTATAGTTATACTATTTCACGATGAAGGTTTCGCCTTGATTGTAGTAGTGACGTGTACCGACAGGCGCGTTTGTGTGTGTAACTTCGATTCGTTCGACTCGCGATCGTGACCGAACGCTCCCGAGGCCTACGCACACTAACACAATGTGTATGTGCACGGCTAACAACAACCAAAGTCAAAACTTCATCGTGAAATAGAGTAACTATACTAATGGTGGAGTAAGAGAATCGACTACGGTATATGGTAGAGCCATGCTGCAGCTATATTAGCAGTATAGTTGTAGCGCGAATGTGTCGGCTCGACCGGGAAAGGACCACGCTCTCACAGAATACCAGCGTAAAATTACCGCTGTTGTGTTTCGTATGGTGAATGTAGAGAACCGGAGGCCCTTTTTACTGGAAATGAGGCATTCTATCTTTGTCCTCACGGGTGACAACGCATCTGCATTTTGATTTGTAATATAGGATAGATGTAGATGTCTATGGGCCGCAGCAACCCCTTACCATCAGGTGGACTGTGTGCTCGTTTGTCACCCTTATCCTATAAAAAACAGCTCAAAATAATAAAAACTGCGGTTGCCAACCCACTTGCCTAGCGTGACAACTACGGTAATAAATATATCCCTTCTGACTTATGGTGTAATCTATTTTCTTTCTTTTATACAGGGTTATTTTTCAATAACCGGTCAAAATTGTAGACAAATGGAAAAGAAAAACTAATTTAAAAAAATCTCAAACATTCTGTCCTTTTTATCTTTTTAATTCAAAATGCGTGGCAAAGCATTATTTTAAGTGAATTTACTGCGCCCGCACACATTCGTAAGGATCAATCGGTAGGCAAAAACGTTGTTGCCCATAAATCACATTCAATTTGGGATAATTTCAAATAAAAGTAGAAACCTCATTTACTCGTATTTTTAAAAACTGGAATAACGGTATATCATTAATTACATATTTGAACTTAAGTTTAAAATTTGGCTATTCTTTGAAAAATAACCCTGTAGGTATATAAATATTAGCAATGCTATTTACATTGCGAAAATTCCCTTTAACCTCTCATATGGTGTAATCTATAGAAAATAATAGACTTTTCCCCCGTTCGTTTCCCGTTCAGCGATAGACTTTTGATGAGCCGTTATGAATTAATGCATGTAGTTATTTATTAATGATGACGGCAACTACTTAATTGTATTATTAGAAATAAGTGCAAAGTACTGTTAGTTGCTAACTTTTTGTTTGTTTTTAAATTTTAATAAAATTCGGTTTGATTAACTGATGTATAGTTTTATTAACCCTCTCTCTGCAAGACCACATCACTTTAAAAGCCCGTAAATGCTTGGTAGCGCGATGGATTACCTTTTGGACGCGGCGCTGTGAGGCAATGGGGTTTAATTGCACGAGAAAAGTGTTTGTTTGGCCGATAAAAAATTTTGTACGTGGTAGAGCCATGCTGCAGCTATATTATGGTTGTAGCACGAATGGGTCGGCTCGACCGGGGAAGGACCACGCTCTCACATAAAACCAGCGTAAAATAGCAGCTTAACACTGCTGTGTTTCGTATGGTGAGTGTAGAGAACCGGAGACCCCTTTTACTAGCAAAGAGGCATTCCATCTTAGTCCTCACGGGTGACAACACATCTGCATCTTGAGTCTTTATTGAGGATAGATGTAGATGTCTATGGGTCACAGTAACCACTTAACATCAGGTGGACTGTGTGCCCGTTTGTAACCCGATCCTTTAAAAAAAAATTGGGCTGCCGGATGTTTGTTATTGTGCAATTTATGAATGTATAAGGCTAACATGACAGGAGAATATCCTGGCGTGAGGATGAGATAACGTTTTAAAAAATAAACAACAGTCCATTGCCAGAAATGAGAATATCCAACTGTAGAAAGAAATTTCGATGATTGCAATTCTTGACAGGCGAATTGGTGTTCTAAGATCTTTGTTGCACCTTTGACGCTGTCTAGTGTCGTCGGTCCCGATATCTATATTATAGATTAAAGTTATAAATGACCATACCGGACTCTGTGCGTAGTAGGTAATCGTAATAACTATTTATTTATGTAATGATTTGTAGTATGTAGTAAGTAGTACCCCGTGACCATAGGTGCTGCAAAGTACTTGAAAGTCGGAAATATAAAAATAAGTTAACTAATTTCATTCAATTTCTTTGTCTTTACATTTCTAAGATTTTCTTTTCCACGTTCTTAATGCATAACTCATGTCAATAAAATAATGTTTGCTCGAACGATTAATGCACGCAACTACTACTACAAACCATTATTATCCCTACACTAACAGTTTGTCACTTCGCATCGAATGCGGAAGTGGTGGCAGTGGCATAACCAATCGGAAACATCTGCGCTAATCACCTAACGGCTAATATCAAAGTTATCCAGCTAGCTGCCTCCAAGTGTGCGCTTTCTTCAAGTATGCTTATCAGTTAATTGGTTGTCATTTTACAGTAAGGACTCTTATGTATATGAATAGGCGTTATCAGATAACTACTGATAGATCCTTCACGTACTACATCAGGCGTATAAGCTTGTAACTCATTAATGCACAATACTATTTCAAATTATATTGACGATGTTCTTAAACTCCTGCTTTTAGGTTATATAAAGATGTAAAGGATTATTAAGCTTTTTGTTCCAATTGGGAAGATAAACATAAATAACTGTATAATAAATAATTACTATTTGATAATTATGGGATATTTCTATTGTTTTCTCATCAGGTTGGGATACATAATTTTTTTTCTTTTTTTTTTAAACAAACGTTACCTCCACACTAGGATTTTCTCCTGTATCGTAGAGGCAGTTTACGAACATAAATTGCACAAGGACAAACATCCAGACCCGCACAGCCTTCAAATACTTCATCATCATCATCCGTCGATTAACCTCTCGGTCGAAGTTGGACTTACCTGGTCGGACTATTTGTCCCAGGTAAACATACATAGGCTGCACTAAAAGTATCCCGAATGGAATATTTCCACTGTTCCTGTCATATTAAAATCTATTTAGGTAATTTCAATTACCTAAATAGAGTATAGTATAGTCCTTTGTTTTTTAAAATTGAATACCATTTATTTATTTTAAAAAAGATTTTCGGTCTTGTCACAAGGTTTTGTCAAACTTGTTTAGTCGTTGAGAAA